ATTCCTCAGCACCACATAAGCAAAAAGAAAAAAGCCGGAAGTGGCGCTGTGGCTCAAGTGGTCGAGCGCTAGCCTTGAGCTGAAGAGCTGAGGGACAGCGCCTAGGCCCAGAATTCAGGCCCCAGGACTGGACCAAAAAAAGAAAAAAAGGAAATAGGTATTACAGAGAAGCTTCCTAAAAGGCAGCTCAACCCACCCCCCCCCACCACCCCCGGCCACACACACACATGAATCTCCATGAAGATGGAAGGGTAGGAGAAAGTCATGTTTTACCAGAGTCCCTTATCTACTACCAAGATGCTGCCTACTTCCAAAGAAATGAGACTGTCTGTGTTAGGCTTCTTATCCTTGCTGGGATGATAGGCACATATGATCATGTCCACAGTTTTCCCTCTGGGCTAGCTCATACTGTGGTCCTCTCAATCTCAACCTCCCAAGCAGCCAGGACTATAGGCATAAGCTGCCAGTACCTAGCTACTCTAGTTGTTTTTGAGGTAGGGTCCTGCTTTTTGCCAAACTGGCCTAGAAAACTGGTAAGAGAGGTTATTTCTTTGGGGCAGAAGATCTACACAGGTAGAAGAAAAAGAGTGAGACAAAAAATTTCACTTTATTTTTCCTTCTTATTTTTAAATGATGAAATACATTTATGTGACTTGAAGTTGTTTAAATGTGAGAAAAATCAAGGGCTTAAGCCAACAAAAGTTCTCATCATGCAATAGGAATTTTAGTTCTACTTTTAATTAGCTGTCAGTAGGCATCAGTAGAGCGAAGCTGTGCAACTGGAATGGCAGAGAGGGAAGTGAAGCAAGAAGCCGTGCTTCCTTATCAGAATTATTCTCATAGTGGTGGATAAACAGAATTAACAGAAATCAAAGGAAAACAAAACAAGAAGAGTGATCAAGCATGGTTCAGTGACTTTTTTCTTATGGTAAAATAGGCAAGGTGAAAGGAAAGTGGTTAATTATGGGCTCTGAAACCAGGTCTTTGAGGAAATGCTAAGGGCAGTGGGGCCATTTGAAGGGAGAAAAAGGCATAGGTCACACACTGATGGCTCACGCTGGTCATCTTAGTTACCTAGGAGGCCGAGATCTGAGGATTGTGGTTCGAAGCCTTCAAAGTCCTTGAGACCCTTATCCACAATTAACCAGCAAACAGTCAGAAGTGAAAGTGTGGCTCAAGTGATATTTAGTGCCAGCTTTGAGTCAAAAAGCCAAGAGAAAGCATAAGGCCCTGAACTTAAGCCCATTTAAGTAAGTCAGGTCTACAAAGAATGCAAGCATATTTTCTCTTATTCATAAATAGACAAGTTATATGCAAGTACAGACAAACTGTACTTAACTGATGTATGGTATTTTTGTGGGAGAATTCAAATGGCATAATTTCTTAGAAAAACAAATTCACAGTCCAACAGGATGAATACCAGGAAACTGGTACTTGGAAAGTATGAAGGAGGAAGGCAGACAAATGAAAAGAGGTGGAGCAGGGTAGTGTCATCATAATACTTATGACATATCCTGTGAAACTAGGAAAATTGAAGGGAGGGTGGCTTGGGAAGGATGGGGAGAATGATGAAAAGGGTGCATCTTCCATGAAGATGCATTGCACTGGTTAAATGGTACAATGACTTAAAGATAACAAAATATGATTTAAAAAAGAAAGAATAGGGCATTAGACCATTTGCCTGAAATGTACAAACAAGAATGTTTGGGTATGGCTAGCCTATATTTTCATAGAGATTGATTTAGGAATTGAATTTAAAGTAGGGCAAGAGGAATTTAGATTGTTATCATTGAAGTCTAAAGAAAGCATTGCATTAGCAAGAAGCTTTGTTGGTCACCATTTGTTTTCTTTTTTTCTGGAAAGATGAAGCTGTAAGAATTAGTCTTGAAGAAGCTAAATGTATTACATATAGGTTTGTTCTCTTGCTCTCTGATCTTATAAACTCTGCTTTAGGCGACAGAAGCTGGTTTTCAAGGAAAAAATCCATGCAAAATGAAATGATGAAATATTGCGATTGTTAGCTGGCACTGTTTTCTCTTTAGTCTCTCATGATAACTGGCAAGACATTTTGCTCTGTGCTCTAACATATGTGTCTTTTTACTTTTATTGAGGGGTCGGACGAGGAGATGCAACAGATCTAAAAATAGACATCATAATGCAGTGTAAGACTGTGTTTACTTGCACATCAGAAACCTGCATGGTGAGTAAAAGCATTTGAAGTGAGACTTCTGGTACTTGTTTCTAGTTCACAGTCCAGCTGGCATGTTGCCCTCCCCAAACCATCACTCACCACACGGGTGTGTGTTGCCCTCTGGTGGCCAGCGTGGTGCTTGCTTAGTTCACATGCAAATCAAAGCTAGGTTCCAAAGAGTCCTTGTAAGACATTTCCCCAAGTATGCTACAGTTCACTGTTCCTTTGTCTTCACTTGCCCACACATGCTAAGAATGTTCCCAGGAATCAATGGAGGTTTCAGATTTCCATATCTGGTCAGTATTTGCTATATTATTTTCATCTTGGTCTTGTTTTTTGGTCATCAGTTGTATAACACTGATCTTGGAGTTTAGTGTTCTTGACCAAGATCACCTTGGCACTTGTGAAGTGTAGGATTCAGGAAATGTGGAATTGGCACTGAAGCTGTCCACTCCACAGTGAGTGCCCTCAGTGACACTAACTCAGATGTTCCTTGGGGAGCAGCTGTAAGGGGAGACAATATTGAACTGTAATAAAGAAATGCTGAAGACTGTAGACCTTTTCTGGAAATAAAATAAGCAAGTTGCCTTTATGATCAAAAGTAAACTTTTAAAATTCCTTCCAAGGTTCTTAGAAGTTACACACACACACACACACACACACACACACACACACGCACGCACGCACACATACACACACACACACACACAATCCAAGCCTCCTGAGTAGCTAGGATTACAGGCATGGGCCTTTGGTGCCCAGCTTCATAGATACTTTTTAAAATTTTTATTCCTTTGTGTTTGGATTCACTTTGCTGAGAGCACTCACCCAGACCCCATCCTTGATTTTTTTGTTCTTATCTATGAGAAGACTCTGGTTTGGGTCACGTTCACCATTGCCCTTCTGTAAAGTAGCATGGGTCCTTTCATTGAGTGAACAGATATTCAGGAGCCCTTGCTGTGTGGACAATGTCAGAGCTGCCACATGGGCATTTTCCACACCCACTGTCTAAACACATTTAATCAATCCTGATTTATCAAATAAGTTTTCCTATGCTGCTTAAATGCAATCAGTGTTCTCCAAGTCAGACGTTACCATTTGAAATTGTTTTTAATTCTTCTTTGTCTTAGTCTCTAAATCACATTAATCACCAGCTCCTATGGAAGATGCTTTGAAGTTTCACTTCACTTTTCATGTTCCCACTACTGCTACCTAGTCCAGGACCTTATTTGCTCATTTCTAGATTTGTACAATAGTCTGCTTCCTTTGTATTTCTCTGTATAAAATTCAACATGTGGATGTGTGCAGAATGTACCCTGAAATAGTGCTCTCATTGTGAGCAGAAGACACAGTGTGCCTGGCCAGAGCCAGTACCCATCTTTGGCTCAAATTCTTATCTATAAAATAGGCCACTTCTCAAGTGTTGTGAGATTAAGGTAATACATCTGAAGTTACTCTATAAACTATAAATTACTAAATCAGTGTTACAGGTGATAATTATCCAACCACATTGTTACATAGGACATGCCCCCAGCGATTCTTAGCAACATTCACTCTTGTTTTCCTGGCTCTTAAGATCTCAAGACACAACAACCCTAGCAAAGCTGAGCTATTCCCATCAATAACTTGACCTAGAGACTCCCAATAAGGGAGGACGTGTCACCTCCCTGGCTCTAGGAACACAAGTCTAATTTCTATTCATGTTTCTGCAGGTCTCTCACACCTGTACTACTCCAATGACCAACTCAAGTTCTACTTCCTTGGGGAGGTTTTCCTATTCAACCTCTCTACTAGAAACTCCCTACTCCACACACACACACACCACATAATTGGACACTCAATCTTGTTTGTGCAACTTGAAAATAATATATTATTGTCCTATTGTTCTTTATATAAAAATTCCTGAAGTCATTGAAAAAAATGTGAGGGTTTTTTTTCTTTTGCCCATGATGCCTATTATTCCTCATTATAGTATGAAGGTGAATCAATACCAAAGAAATACTTAGACTCATTGCAAAGTTGTTAATCCCCAAAACTAGAACTATTTTTGATCACTCCATTCACTGGATTAGGGCATCGATCTCACCAGCAACATAAGATTTTTTTGACAAACATAATTAGTTATTCATTGCTTTTTGAATGCCAATGTAAACTTTAAAATTGAGTTTTATAATGCATTTTAAAGAAAAAAATCAGATGATTCACATTGAACTGTAGTGTTTATTGGTTTAAACTCCAGTAGAAAAACAATTACTTTGCTTCTCAACAGTGCCCTATTGTAACCCTCAAATATGTAGAGGTCATGTAAAGAATAGTAAATACAACTTCAGAAAACAATACTATATTGTCCCATGGCATTTGTAGGGGACTGATTCCAGAACACCTTCCATAGATGCTCAAGTCCATATATAAAATAGCAGTTATTAACACATCCTGTGTACTTTAAAACATCTCTAGATTACTTACCATCCCTAAACAAACATGAGTATTACATAACAGCTGTTTACTGTATTCTGTAGGGAATAATGCTAAGAAAATTAATATACATGTTCAGTACAAGCACAATATTTTGTATATACTTAATCTGCAATTCCTTGAATCCACTGATTAAAAGAACTCAGGAAACAAGGAATACTATTCTAATTTGGTATAGAGAAATTACTAAGTTACTGGAATTAAAATAATAAAACAGAGGCATAAAGTGTTCCCGTTTAACTAGACACTGTTTACCATTATCCAACAAGTGTTTGGAATAACACTTATATATGTATTGACTATACAACAGCAATGTATTTTAAAGATATTCAAAGAATTTGCAACTTATGGGAGCTTTGAAAACCAGAATTTATTAGTCCATGAAAATAATATAATAAAAAGTTTCCTACCTTCTTATAAAACAAAATAGTACTATTATATATGAAATGACTGGGCTATGAAACTGGATGCCTAGGTGCAGGAAAATGAATACTTACCACCAGCTACATTCATAGTTCCTAATTCCATGTGTTTATTTCACAGTTATTGCATGATCTAAAAAGGAATATGGCCATATTTCTTCTGTCAGATTGCCCAGAATTGTGTGATGATATAAAAATCAAGTTTTTTTCACCTGTGAGTAATCAAGAACCCTGTGTGATTGCTCTTGTCTACCCTGTATGATTGCTCTTGTCTACCCTGTGTGATTGCTCTTGTCTTTTGACTGATTTGGGGTCAAGATTTCCTTTGCTGCAGTTCCCAGCAAGAGAAAGGCTAGATAGCAATCCATGTCCAGGGAAAGGGAGGAAAACACTTATCAGAACTATCACAAATTTTTACACATTCAAATGTTTTGGCTCACTTGTTCCCCTAAATTCTATGCAATTTACATATGTTAGTTTTCAAGTAAGAAAACTAATAAAACAAGGATGCTAAAAAGGTTTATTTTACACTGTTGAGCAGTATTGACAATTTTGAATCTTCTAAACACATTGCCATCAATGTGTTTACACATTTTCAATAACTGAGGAGATTTTACTTTCCTCTGAGTTGATACAAGCTATAATTATCTATTAACTTAGGATTATTACTGTTACAGTCATGAATGTATAATTTCTATTGATCAGTTGTACAGTGAATTTCAGTGGCTCAGTAGTTGTATTTTTCTATTAACTCATCCATCACCACTACCAACAAGAAACTTTAATTTCCTTCTCTGTGCCTTCCTTCATCACCTGCTTGCTCACTGCTGAAGAAGTGTCTATGAGCTATTGAGATGGTTAATGTTGAAGCAAATGACCTGGGCAATCGTTATATTGGAAGTTTGCCCTTGAATAACGGATCTACTCTTGAATTCTTGCTCAGCAAGTGGTCTGTAAGCAGAAACAGTGGTTTCTGAACTGGCTCCAGGGACCTTGGTATTAGCTACTTTTAGTGATGATTATCAAGAATCGAGAGTGAAGGTATATTTTTTTTAATTCAGGAAATTCTTTGCTTACCAGTTTTCATTTGGGGGCAGTACTGGGGTTTGAAGTCAGGGCCTCATGTTTTGTTTGGTTTGCTTGCTTGTCTGGATCTCTACCAATTGAGCTACGCCTCCAGTCCTGATTTTTGCTGGTCATTTTGGAAATGGAATCTGACTTTTCTGACCAAGCTGTTTTTGGTCCTCCAGAGCTCAGCCTGCTGAGTAGCTCTAGTCATCACCAATATGGGTTGATAATTATTCAAAATAGATATGTTATATTTCTTAAAGCTTGGCCTCAAGGACCATCTCTGGGGAGCGACTGTAAATTCTAGCTTTCCTCTGATGGGGCTCCAGGTGAGATGACTGTGGATGCCATACAGTGTATCTTTCACAGGATGATTGTTTACCCTGACGTGCAGCGTAATGCCTCAGTGCCCACTGGTGACAGGTGTCCTTCTCAGAGGAAACCTGTTTTTACTGGCAGATGCCTGGAGGCTCTTGTCTGACTTGTTATTTTTAGTTTCTTCCTACCAACGTAGATACTGCAGGAAAGCCCTGAGAGCAGACACAGGCTTGTGCACGCTGCTCAGATCAGGTACCAACCAGGCAGCACAACAAAACACAGAGATTAGGAGAAGCAGGTTATAACAGAGAGAGGCGAGGGCAGCACCAGCCTCAGCTAGTGGAAAGAGGGGAGCCATTTAGGAGAAACTGATGCCCAACCAGTGTCACAGACACAGGGAGACCTGAGGAGCAAGTAGCCTTTGCGCTGGGCCCAGGGTGTTACCTGAGCAGGTTTCCCATGGGGGGCTCCATCGTGGTCCCAGGAGTTGTGCTGTAACCCAGGTAGTCACAGTGACTTACCTACACAGGTCCCCTGGAGCATGGGGTGCATGGGGTAAGGGGATGGTATCTGCTGTCACATAGGAAGAGGGGTGCATGAAACAGATATCCAGATCAGGCCACTGAGGAACTGGGAAGGGACAGAGTCTGGAAACTGGAGTGGCTGTGCCCTGCTCCTGTTATGCCAGTCTAATGTACACTCAAAATGAATGCAGAGGCTACAGCAATGAGTAAGAACTCACCACCATATGTTTGGGTGCAAAGAGGCTAGGTCTTTAGATAATTTAGTTGATTTAGTTGCAAATAAGATCAAAAGATCAGTATCTATATTTATCATGGACCAAACATTTTTCAAGTGGAATTGATGTCATATAGTAATTCTATGTTTTGGGCTTTTTTTGTTTTTTTGTTTTAGTTTTCATTTTTTGATGGTCATGCGTTTGAACTCTAGGCCTGGGCGCTGTCCCTCTGCTCTTCAGCTCAAGTCTAGCACTCTACCATTTGAGCCACAGCACCACTTCCCATTTTCTGAGTGGTTTATTGGACATAAGAGTCTCACGGACTTTGCTGCCTGGGTTGGCTTTGAATAGCAGATCTCAGCCTCCTGAGTAGCTAGCATTACAGGTGTGAGCCACCGACTCCTAGCTAATTCCCAGCTAATGTTTAATTTAAATTCTTTGTTTTAATGTAAATTACCAAATCCTTTTCCACCATGGCTTCACCATTTTACATTTGCACCAGCAAGGCCTGAGGGACTCTGGTGGACTGTGGTTTGCTGATTTTTGATGGCGATCCTACTGGATGTGACATCAGGACTCAGTCTTCATGTGTGCTTGTAGGCCTTTTCCATACATTCTCTGGAGAAATGTTTGTTTTATCTGCTTTTTTCAGGCTTTTGTTTTTGTTTGTCCGGTAGTGGGGCTTGAACTCTGGGCCTGGGCGCTGTCCCTCAGCTCTTCAGCTCAAGGCTAGCGCTCTACCACTCGAGCCACAGAGCCACTTCCGGCTTTTTTCTTTTTGCTTATGTGGTGCTGAGGAATGGAACCCAGGGCCTCAGGCATGCAAGGCAAGCGCTCTACCACTGAGCCACCTTCCCAGCCCAGGCTTTTGTTTTTTAATTGAAAGAGGTCTTCTGGATACAACACCGTCATCAGATACATGATTTGCATATATTTTCCTTCATTCTGTGGCTTAGTTTTTCACTTTGTTGCTATGCTTTTTTGTTGTTGGTGGTGGTAGTCATGGAACTAGAACTCAGGGCCAGGGTCTATCCCTGAGCAATTGTGATCAAGTTAGTGCTCTACCACTTTGAGCCACAGTGCCACTTCTGGTTTTGTGGTGGTTTAATTGGAGATAAATGTCTCATAAACTTTCCTGCCCAGGCTGGCTTTGAACTCCAATCCTCAGACCTCAGCCTCCTGAGTAGCTAGGATTACAGGCATAAACCACCAGCACTTGGCTGCTAATGCTCTTTTATGAAATCCAATTTAACAGATTTTTTATTTTACTGCACTAAGCTTGACCCTTTACAGTTTAATCGAAACAGTGTTCTCCTAAAGTCCCTGAGTACTTTGTATAGAAGGCTGCAGCTGATAAATACATAAAGAAATAAGGGAGTAATTTTAATCTCTTGGGATCATTAGTTCTTGGTATACATTTTATTATGAAAGTAACCTTTTTCTTTAACCCTATGTTTTTAGAACCTTCCAAAATACAATCAGAGCTGTGCTTTCTTTTTGTGCTTCCACACCTCATTTATAAAGAATAATCGGTAAGGATATGATGTAATCCAATAGAAACAGCTTCATCTTCCACGTCTGTGTATAAACTACAGTGGCAGGTCTTTTTGCCCACTGCCTAAGTACATTTACCACAAATACAAAGAACCCCTTGAGCAACCATTTCAAAACCCCTGTCATGGGATGGTGTGTAAGTTAAAATGCAGTTACTCAGATCTTAGTAATGACCAGTTCCTCCCAGGGAAGTCTACATTTGCTCAGTTCCTGGAATATGGCAGGTCCTGAGGGTGTGTGGATGTACTGTGGTAATACTGAAGGAAGGTGTGATCCATCGAGGGAGGCTTTAGCTGGCCTCAAGCTAACACTGGCACATTTACATCTAGGACAGAAATGGCAAGGCCCGATAAGTATTAATTAGTCTGAAAACCATTAATTTTATAGACTCCCATTTTAAAAAGTTTTTCTAAGAACTGAGCATCTAAAAAGAAGTTCATTGTTCTTAAGAACCCACTACTATATCTAGAAACACATTCCTGATCCTACAAGTTCTCCACTTTTTAGGAGTATTTTTCCTGAGGTGGTGAAAACTACTCAAGACCAGAGTTGAAGAGATTGTCCTTGTGTCATCGTGTGTGTGTGTGTGTGTGTGTGTGTGTGTGTGTGTGAACTGATAGTATTTGTTATATCCAATGTTAATCTTCTCTTCAAGTCTGAACTGAGCTTAATACCTCCAGTCTAGTAAGACAGCACCAAGAAAACACCAGTTCTACACACTTGTGATTCAGACACAATTTGGTTTGGGAAAGAGTAAATTATTTAATGACAAAATGTTCACCAAGTTTTCTAGATATATATGAACAAACTTTGACTCATGAGCAAAATTCTTAGCAAAGGCATGGCTTGGGGCAAGGGGTCTTTGCTCATTGCTCCTTCTCCAAGTGGTTGTTGTAAAGCACAGCTTTGTCCTTTATGTCACCAGGGTCACATGAGAGATGGTGGGGATGTTTTATCCTCATTTCATAGACATTTCTATAGGAATTGGTATCATTTCATGCCTTGCTTTTGTAAAGCTCCTTTAAGAGTTATGAGGTTGTTATTTAGACAAATACACAGCTTTGTCACTTGAGAGAGATATAGACAGAATTAGATCTAAAATACACTGGGATATGGTAAGTTATCAGGATTCTAGATACTTACACACAGTGAGACCAAAAGAAGATACTCCTAGGATAGAAATACAAAGACACAATGCCTACATGCCTCTTCATATTTATATAAAACTGTGTGTGTGTGCGTGTGTGTGAGAGAGAGAGAGAGCACGCTAGCACTTCAGGATATAGAAATAAGAGCTCTCTTTTTTAAAAAAATTAATTTTTGATGATTCTTTCTTGGTGTATTCACATCTATACCTCAAGGAGGGAGTGGGAAGAGTATAGAACTTGAGGGATAAAGGGAGAAAAATGGCAGCAGTGGAGCTCACTGGACACAGATAAAAGTGAATTATACAACTTGTGGGTGGAGAGAGAGGAAGGGACTGGGAGAGAATGAGGGAATAGAGACATTGTACAAAAAGGAAATGTAATCATGACCTGATTCCTGTAATTGTAATCCCTCTGTACATTACCTTTATAATAACAATAAAGTAAATTAATGTTAAAAAACAAAAGAAATAAGAGATACAGACAGGCACTGGTGTCTCACTGGCCTCTGAACCTAGCTACATAGGAGGCTGAGATCTGAGGATCACAGTTTGAAGCCAGCCCAGGCAGAAAAGTCTGTGAGACTCTTCAATTAGCCAGTGAAATAGCCTGATGTGATAGGTTTAGCTTGAGCAGAAACAAAACAGTATTTTATTACTGAGTTTCATTACATACCTAATATATTTGTGGGTAATTTCTGACAATTATAGACATTTTCATAGTTTGTTCAAACTGGATGTAACTAATTCCCTTGGAAGCATGTTGGGACCAATGTGTTTGCATCTGAAAATTAAGGTATCTATGTCACCTCCAAGAGGTGGAATTAGCCAAGTAAGGAAAGCAAATGGAGCTTAGTTTCTGGTTGCAGGAGCAAGTCTCTTTCTAAACAAGAGTGTTGTATTGTATGACTTTTCTGTTAGCCCTAAAATAAAAGGTAATGGCTTTTCTTCCTATCCTTAGGCTTTACCTAACGCGTAATGAACTGGATAATCTTCATAAACCAAAAATATGTGGGTTTTATCCCACTGATTTTGCTGTAGAGATCAACTTCGAAGAGTAGTTACATGGAACTATTCTATTTTGGCACACTATCTGAGGCACCACACCACCGATGTCTAAATTCATGATACTTTATATTTTGGTATATATTAAGAAAAAAAACCCTAAAAAAAGAAACTCACTAAATAAATTCTATATATAAAAGTATCATTAATGATTTTGTTTTGTTTTGTTTTGGTGTGGTATGCTAGCATTAGGGCTTGAACTCTGCATCTTACTCCTGGCTGATGCTCTACCACTTGAACCATACTCCTACTTCCAGATTTCTGATGGTTAATTGGAATAAGAGGCTTGAGGATTTGTCTGCCCTGGATGGCATTGAACTCAATCATCTAGATCTTAGCCTCCTGAGTGGCTAGAATTATAGGTGTGAGTCAGCGAGGCCCAGCTTCACTGATGTCTTCTTGAAAGCATATACTTCACATAGTCTCCCTCTTGTATTTAATTTGAGAACACAGCATACAGAAGAGCAGTGGGGATCACATGAAAGAACTCTGACATAGCTTAAAGCTATCTAAAAATTGTAATCCTACCAATACCTATGGACTCCCATGTTTTTACACAAGTGGTTTAACATTTGCCATTTCTGATATCAGAAAACAGATTGCTTGATTCACAAACTATTC